TGTTTCAAAAAAAAAGACACCCCCCCCCCGCAAAAAACATTTTTTTAATTTTTCTTTTACGTACATGAGTATTTTGCCTTCATTTGCGTAAGTGCATCTATGTGTGCGATATTCCCAGAGGCCAGAAGAGGATGTTGAATCCCCTGGAACTGAAGTTATCAATGGTTGTTAACCTCCATGTGGGTGCTGGAAACCAACCTGGAGTCCTCTGCAAGATCAGCCAGTGCGCTTAACCTCTGAACCATCCCTCCAGCCCCATTTCCTGTGTTTGAGAACTACTCCATAGGCCATACCAAGGCTTATCTTTTCCCAAGACTTAATGTGGAAGGATGGTGGTAAAGGTGATAGGGTGCAAGTTGGAATAAGGTTTGGCTAGTGGTGTGGGGTGGATTGCAGTCCTTCTCCTTCTTGGGGTACAACCTACACCACTACCTTGGGTGAGCAGTGGTGGAATGCCAGCAGGGTACAACCTAAGTCATGGTATACCATTTATCCAGGCTCCAGATTTACCTGAAGTTACGGTGCGACCTGCCCCCAAAGAGGTAAGAGTTTGGGCTGGCTAAACTGGGCATGGTGGTATGTACATACCTATAACTTGACAGATGGAAGCAGGATCAGGAGTTCAAGGTCAATCTCAGATACATAGGGATCTGAGATTGGGCTACGTGAGGCCCACCCGCTACCCACCCCCCCAAACATTGCCGGGCATGGTGGTGCACAACTTTAATTCCAGCACTTGGGAGGCAGAGGCAGCTTAACAATAGACTTCAGGCTAACCTCAGATTCCTGTTGAGCTAGAGACTCTGGCATTTGGGAAAGAGGTGGAAGTAGGAATGCCCGTGCTGAACTCCTGTTGTGCGATTAAAGAGGAACAGAGCTGAAGGTGTAGGTCAGTAGTAGAGTGCTTGCCTTGCACACACACAGTCCTGAGTTTGAGCCCCAGCACTACATAAGTAGGGTGTGGTGGGTACACTTGCAGTCCCAGTACTGAAGGAGTGGAGGAAGATCAAAAGTTCAAGGTCATCCTCAGCTATACTAAACTGTCTGAGGAACTAGGCCAAGGCCCCTGCCTTCCAGGGCTGACTCTCTTCCTTTGCTCTGCAGCCAAGCTCTGAACATCCGTCTGCACCTTCCCCTGCCTCGAGGCGTGGTCAGGTTAGTGTGTGCTTCTCAGAGAGCCTCCCTGGAGTAGAGTGCTCTGCTGAGGAAGGAGCCGCTGAGTCCAGCATCTTCCCTGTCCACTCTGCAGCCTGTCTCAGGAGCTGAGCAGCCCTGATCAGAAGGCAGAGCTGGGGGAAGGAGCCCTCCACTGGGACCTGCCCCGGGTACAAGGAGGTTCTCAGCTCTCAGGCCTTTTCCAGGTATCAACTGTTGACCCTCTTGTACCTAATGCTACCACCCAGTTCTGGTGCCTGGCCTCATAGCTTCTTCGACCTCTTTACTTACAGATGGATGTTCCTGGCTTGCAGGGGCCTCCCAACCATGGGCCCTCTGCCTCAGCAGCCCCTTTGGGGCTGGGCCCTGCCAGCCTCTCCTTTGAACTCCCCCGACACACATGCTCTGGCCTCCAGGTTCGCTTCCTCAGAGTATCCTTCAGTCCCTCTGGTAATGCCAACCCGCACAAGTGGGTGCGACACCTGAGCCATAGTGATGCCTATGTCATTCGGATCTGAGAGTCCCCTAACAAGAACACAGGCAGTGAAGCCAGCAGGCAGTTGAACAGGAAAAGGACATTTTCATTCTTGTGACTTTGAATTTGAACAAGCAAAATCCTGAAACCAGGAGGGTTCATGGACTCACCCTTTCTGTGATATGTGCTGTGATATGTGATGCAGGGAGACTCACAACTTACAAACCCAACTTTTATTCTGAAGAATTCACTGTACAGTATCTAAAAAGAAAGTCACTGGAGGAAACAGCCTACTCCTTCATCCATTCTTCCTCCAGCATGCGTCTGTGTGTGCAGGAATCCACAGGAGGAGGTCAGCAGATGTGACAACCATCATGGAGCAGACTGAGGGGAGCCAGATCCAGTGGGCTGGGAGCCATTAGCCTTTGGAGTCCCTGGAGCTGGAGGGGGGCTGTCTCCGGCTTCCTGCTTCCCCCCACAGAGGGCACTGCCCCCAAGTGGGGATGGTGAAGAGGATGGGGGAGGGACTGGAGAAGGATGAGAGGCGGGGGCTCCTTTGCCCTCCCCTGATGGGGGAAGGGAGACCACGATGTATTTCTGAACACTGCCCGGACCAGCGGGGGCTGTGCTGGGGGGTGCAGTGGTAGCAGTGGAGACCAGCTTAACAATAGGCTGCACGCTGGGGACTGTGGTGGTAACAGGAGAGGTAGTGGTGGAGCCTGAGCCAGGAGCTGAGGTGCTGAGGGATAGGACCTGGGGAGAGAGGAAAGCACTGTGATTGTCTTATACCCCTAGATGGCCTGAGGAGATGCATTTACTTCCCCCGGGATCATTTTCCAGATACCTGCTGTTCACCCTCACCCTCGGCTCCCATCTTCCTTTGTACCCCCCAGTTTGACTACTCAATTCCATCCTCAAGACCCTGGAGACTGCCGTTAGCTTGGGAGCTATAACACCCTGACAAATGACCCTTCCACCTTCTGATTTGGGGCATGGAGGAGTTAGGCCTCCACTCCAAGGCTTCCCCAAGGTACTCTGAGGTGACCAAGGCTCCTTGCATGGAGCGCCACAAACCTGCTGGGTGGATGAGGCACTGGAAGACGAGGACATTACAATAAATTTTGTTGGAGGAGGGGAAGGCTGAGGCGGGGCAGCAGCTCGTGCAGACACCAGTGTCTGGACAGGCAAAGCGATAGAACCAGGGACCTTCAGCAAGCCAGGGGTTCGAGGGCCAGGCTGAGGGGCCTGTGAGAGGGTCAGTGTGGGCCGAGGCTGTGGAGAGAAGATGATGTCAACATGGGAGATTTGGGTTGCTCTTGCTCTTAATATATTGCTTCTCACTCAGGGGCTCCAGCCCCATGACTGTCCCAACCCTGGGTCCTTCTACATTTCCTCTCACCCTCTTCCCTCAGTAGCTGACCTGTGTGATGGTGAGTGTGGTTCTGTTGACCTGCTGAGCCTGTAGAGCAGCCTGAGCTCGAGCCTTCACCACATGGGAGCAGAGAAGGGGCCCAAGGGACCCAAATTCTCCCCGGTAGGCATCCTGATTGTCAGGTGGTGGCCGCAGCTTTGCCAGTACTGGGGCACAGTGTTTCTGCAGAGAAAGCAATGTGGGGGGAGGGCTGGTACTCAGAAAAATGAGGGACAGGGTGAGAAAGGGACTCACCACTGCTTTTGTGAGCTGATTGTGTATGAGGAACACTATGGTTTTTCCTTTAGAATGCTTGCTCTTGAGGGGGGTGTGGTGGCTTATGCCTATAGTCCCAGCACTCAGGACATAGAAAGATCATGAGTTAAAGGCTAACCAGGTTTATGTAGAGAATTTCAGACTAGCCTGGGCAAATGCAGAGTGCCAAAAAGCAAAAATAAATGGGGGGGGGGGCAGGCAAGGAAATACAGCTCAATGGTAAAGAACTTTGTTACCGCCAGGCGTGGTGTGCACTTGGGAGGCAGAGGCAAGCAGATCTCTGTGAGTTCAAGGCCAACATGGTCTACATAGCGAGTTCCAGGCTAGCTGGGGCTACAGGGAGACCCTGTCTCAAAAAGACCAAAAAATAGTTTTGTTACCGTGTGAGGCCCTAGGTTCAATTCCCAGCATTACAAAAAAAAAAAAGGAATGATTTTGGTGTGTGTGGTGGTGTACATCTGTAATCTTAGCACTCGGAAGGCAGAGGCAGGCAGCAGGATTGGTACAAGGCAGCATGATACCTAGCAAGTTCCAGGCTAGCCAAGGCTAGTGAGACCCTGTCTCTAAAAGCAAAGAGAGAAAAAGGATGCCTCCAATCTCAGCACTTGGGAGACAGAGGCAGGCAGAGGATCTGAGTTCAAGGTCACCTGGGGCTTCAGTGTCTCAAAAAAACAAAAGAAATGCTCCTTCCCTGAGGACCAGCCAGTGTGAACAGCAGAGGACCAGCGATACAAGCAGGGTGAGGGGCAGTGTAGTCCAAAAGTTATAGACCAGGTGGCAGGGCCTCTTGTTTCTTAGCCCATCTGTGCCCAGCTCTCTGTGTACACATTAGTACTGGCCTCTGAAGAGTAAGTGAATAAAATGTGCCTGGTGCTTGCTAAACACTGTGCCCATCCATGTCTGTGGGGGTGGTGGGAAGAAGGGAGGGCAGGGTAGGGGCTCCGGTCACCAGGAGAAGGCTCTGCACATGGTCCGCTCCAATGCGGTCAATGTTGCTCAGCACAGGCCCATCCAGGACACTGCGGATCCGCTCCCCTTCCTGCTGCAGCCTTGGCAGAATCAGAGTCTTAATCACCTAGTGGAAAGGAAGGGGGAAAGTTGGTGCTGTAGGGTCACCAGGGCCTCTTGGGGGTCAGGGTGTTCCCCTCTATGACATCCCCCCTTTCCAGTTCTTCCTGCTGAGGGCCTCACATCGTGTCCCAGCTCTGCCAGGCCTGCAATGGAGCCATAACGAGTTGTCCAGGGCGTCTTTTCATCTACCCAGCTCTGTAGGCAAAGAAAACAAACCCATATGAAAAGGTTTGGAAAGGCCAGGCAACTGTTAAACCAGATGTGGTGATGCAGGCATGTAATCCCAGTACCCAGGAGATAAAGGCAGGATGATAAGTTCAAGACCATTCTCAGCTACATGGCAAGTTCAAGGCCTGCCTGGGCCACATGACACCCTTTCTCAAAAAAAGAATGCTAATTGCTAAGGACTGGCATCTCCTATCTTATAAAGCATTAAGACACTGGAGGAGGAGCTGAAGAGGTGGCTCAGCAGTTAAGAGCACTGACTGCAGAAGACCCGGGTTGTTCCCAGCACCCACATGGCAGTTAACAACTGTAACTCCAGTTCCAGGGGATCCAACCCCCTCCCCTCTTCTGACCCCCACGGGTATTGCATGTCAAAGGTGCACTTATATACATGCAGGCAGTACACTCATACACATGAAGTAAAAATAAAATAGTTTTTAAAAAAGACATGAAGGAGGTTTGAGTCCCAGACCCCAATCTCTCTCGTTCTTGTTCCAGGTATCATTTCCCCCAGTCACTGCTGGATGGCGAAGTTCTCACTTTTTCTGGTGCAAACCCTGGAGGGGTGACTTGCATTAGCTGATCTATTTCTTGGTGGCTTACCTTGGTGAAGGTCTTAGTGATTCGAGACTGGATGTTGTTGGTAGTTGTGCTGAAATGCTTGCAGATCTGGGCCACCAGGCGGGCAGCAAAGTCCCGGAGTGCCCAGTGATTGTCCACATCTGGCCGCAGGCACAGCTGTCTGCTGACAATGCAGGTCATCACTGCTGGGATCAATTCGTGCACCTGAGGAAGACAAGGCAGGATCAGCCGGTTCTTACACCTGGCTTCCTGTGCAGTAGGGTCCCCTGATCCTGGAAAGACAGGTGGGTGGGGCCACTCACATATTTCTCTAGATAGAGTGTGGGGTTGTCCATCAGCGCCTTCACCATGCGCATTAGGTAGATGAGCAGGGCCAGGTTATTCTGAACCACATTCACACGGACCTAGGGGAGGGAAAATTGGTTGGGGGCAAGCAGGGGGCAGAGAGACCCTCAGATGGGTGACCCGTACCATCCCCCTCCTTTGTTTCCACCCCCTTCCTTTGGGGCCTTCTCCTGGGCCTGGCCTTTTCCAGTCCTCTCACCCCCTCTGAGATGAAGGTACTGAACCGTGGCAGCATCTGATAGAGCCCTGGGTCCGTGGCAATGCTCTGCAGAGCTTCCTGTGGGAGTGATGTGAGGGCATACACTGCAGGAAACTGCTGACGCTCTGGGAAAAGTCTCAGGGTGAAGGCAGGTGGGAGATGGGCTTACCGCTCTCTTGGCCTCACAGGACCCCACGCAGGCTTCTGTGATCTCTTTGTAGTACAGCTGCTGCTCCACAGACAGTTCGTGGATGCTGCGGGGTTTCAAGCGGAAAGGGGCCCCTTCCAGCAGGGGAGGCGCTTTCTTCTCTTTCCCTGTGTGAATTTGGCCACACAGGTTTGAAAAATGAACTTCAGAGGGCTAGAGAGATGGCTCAGTGGTTAAGAGCACAGGCTGCTCTTGAAGAGGACCTGGGGTTTGCTTCTCAGCACCCACACATCTAGGGGATCTGATGCCTTCTTCTGGTCTCGGGGCATTGCACAATATGGGTGCACTTAAATACATGCAAGTAAAACATGCATAAAATTTAAAACATACATAGAATTTAAAAAAGAGCCGGATGTGGTGGCACATGCCTTTAATCCCAGCACTCGGGAGGCAGAAGCAGGAAGATCTCTGTGAGTTTGAGGCTAGCCTGGTCTACATAGTGAGTTCCAGGACAGCTGGGGCAACAGGGTGCCCCTGTCTCAAAAGTACCAAAAAAAAAAAAAAAAAAAAAAAAAAAAGTTCAGTGCTCAGTCAATAAAGCACTTAAAGCCTTGCCTTACAGGCACACGGACCTAAGTCCAATCCCCAGAATCCGTTTTTTAAAAAAAGCAAGCTGGGCATGGTGGTTCATGCTTGTAATCCCATCTTTAGGGAAGGTGGAGACAGGTGGATCCCTGGGGCTTGCTGCTAGTCAGTCTAGCCTAATCAGATTAACAGACCAAAGAGACCCAGTCTCCAAAAACAAGGGAGATAGCACCTGAGGGCCAACAGCTAAGGTTATCCTCTGGCCGCCACACACATGTGCACCTGCATACATATCTGTACCACCAACATGAACATGCATACCCATGCCCATGCACACACACATAAAAAAGCAAGCTTGGAAAAAGCCCTCTGTACAGGACAAACCTCCACAAGACCTGGCCTTTCTTTAGGCTTCTAGATCCTTTCTGGGGTCCTCTGGCCCTGACCTCATCCACTTCACCAAGGACACAGGTAGGAGGAGGCCTGGCCTGGGTACTGACCTTTACCATCGGCCGTGGATGCCCCTTGACCTTTGCCTTTCAGGGGTCCATCTTCCTCCTGGCCTGGCTTTGCTGACTTCAGGGGTTCTGTGGCCTCAGCCTTCTGCTGTTCTTTGGGAGCTGTTAGGAAAGTGGTCATAGTAGGGGTGATGAGAAGATGAGGGGGACTCCACAAGAACAGGATGGAGAAGAACAAGGGGGTCAGGCTCTGGATGGAGGTGGTTACCTGGGGGTGGATTCTCCGGTATAGCTGGCTGGCAGCCTTCAATGCTCAGCCAATGAGCTGTGAGGAAGATATTCCAGTTGAATACCCAGGTGTCACGCTGAAGGAAGGTGTGTACTCCTTCCAGATCCACTTCTTGCCTTTCTCCGGGGATCTCACACTGTCACAACTGGACATTTCTGTTTCTTTGCCTGTGAGGTTCTCCCCCACCCCCACACCTTGCTGCTCTTCCCTCTCCCTGCCTACCCTACTCTCCCCTTCCCACACCTTTGAGGCAGACATCCAGGGGCACCCGTGGCAGAGGGGTGTTGATGATATCACTCAGGTCTACTTCCTTCTCTTCATAGAAGTAGAGCTCCCGGCCCCCACCAGAGGCGAATCGGAAAGGGATGAACTCCTGAGCGTGGAAGCCATACAGTGGCTATATCAGAGGAGGGAGGGCAGGAGGGCGAGAAGGAGAGAGAGAGAGAGAGAGAGAGAGAGAGAGAGAGAGAGAGAGGGAGGCATGAGAAGAAGCCCAGGGGAGGCATGGCTGCAACATCCACAGGGTCTCTTTGCTCTGCCTCCATCTCAGGCCTCCAGCCTACTTCCAATCTCTCCCAATTACCTCTACATTCTTTAGCTTCAGTGCATAGTCAATGTCACTGGTGGTGAGCTTCTGTCGCTTCCCCATGTGCATGAACTTCAAAGCATCCTAGGGGTTGGGGAGAAGAGGGTCAATCCAAGATCCTGAGGAAACAGGACTTGAGATGTATGTAGGTCAGTAGGTAGAGCACTTGCCCCCAGCTTGCACAGAGCCCTGGATTGGATCCCTGGCATCACATGAGCCAGGTATGGTGGGGCAAGCCTATACCTCAGCACTGGGAGGTGGAGGAAGGAGAAGTTCAAGGTTATCCTCAGCTACATAAAGTGGATCCACACAAAGCAAGGCTGGGGCCAAAGGGTTACCTGTGCAATCTCCTTGATGCGGTAGCTGACTTCATCTGTCAGCAGCTGGCAGGTTTCTTCCTGAATCTGAGCAATGCCCATGGATTCAGCCACCACTTTCATGGACTCGGAGGGCAGCACAGTATTGCTGAGTTTCAGTTTCTTCTCCTCAGCCATGCTGGAATTCCAACTCCCCTCCCTGGAAGGATGGCGCCCCAGGGTGGAGAGATGGTGACTCTGGTAGCAGGACATGGCAGGAAGAGATGAAAAGAAAAACAAGTCAAAATCCCTATTATAAGATGAGTCCCCTACCCAATGGGCTCCAGGCTCTGCTCATCTTCACAACAATGCTACCAATCCTGAAACTTAGTTTGGGTTGTTTTGTTTCGACACAGGGTCAGACTAGTTCCATCCTCCTGCTTCAGCCTTGCAAGTACTAGGATTACAGGCATGTGCTGTCATGCCCAGTAACAACGAGAAGGAGAGAGAGAGAGAGAGAGAGAGAGAGAGAGAGAGAGAGAGAGAGAGGGAGGCATGAGAAGAAGCCCAGGGGAGGCATGGCTGCAACATCCACAGGGTCTCTTCGCTCTGCCTCCATCTCAGGCCTCCAGCCTACTTCCAATCTCTCCCAATTACCTCTACATTCTTTAGCTTCAGTGCATAGTCAATGTCACTGGTGGTGAGCTTCTGTCGCTTCCCCATGTGCATGAACTTCAAAGCATCCTAGGGGTTGGGGAGAAGAGGGTCAATCCAAGATCCTGAGGAAACAGGACTTGAGATGTATGTAGGTCAGTAGGTAGAGCACTTGCCCCCAGCTTGCACAGAGCCCTGGATTGGATCCCTGGCATCACATGAGCCAGGTATGGTGGGGCAAGCCTATACCTCAGCACTGGGAGGTGGAGGAAGGAGAAGTTCAAGGTTATCCTCAGCTACATAAAGTGGATCCACACAAAGCAAGGCTGGGGCCAAAGGGTTACCTGTGCAATCTCCTTGATGCGGTAGCTGACTTCATCTGTCAGCAGCTGGCAGGTTTCTTCCTGAATCTGAGCAATGCCCATGGATTCAGCCACCACTTTCATGGACTCGGAGGGCAGCACAGTATTGCTGAGTTTCAGTTTCTTCTCCTCAGCCATGCTGGAATTCCAACTCCCCTCCCTGGAAGGATGGCGCCCCAGGGTGGAGAGATGGTGACTCTGGTAGCAGGACATGGCAGGAAGAGATGAAAAGAAAAACAAGTCAAAATCCCTATTATAAGATGAGTCCCCTACCCAATGGGCTCCAGGCTCTGCTCATCTTCACAACAATGCTACCAATCCTGAAACTTAGTTTGGGTTGTTTTGTTTCGACACAGGGTCAGACTAGTTCCATCCTCCTGCTTCAGCCTTGCAAGTACTAGGATTACAGGCATGTGCTGTCATGCCCAGTAACAACTTGTTCTGTTTGGTTTGTGTTTGTGTAGGGTTTTTGGTTTTAGCTTTTTATCAAGCTCTATGAAAGGAAGGATGGCCTTGAACTCCAGATCCTCTTGCCTCCACCTTCCAAGTGCTGTGATCACAGATGTAGGCCACACCTAGTTTACATAGTGCTGGGGATGGAACCTAGGGTTTCCTGCATTGGGGAAAGCACTCTACTGATACATCTCCCACTCTGTTTTTTTAAAAAACAGGGTCTCCCTGTAGCCCTACCCGGCCTAGAACTCACTATGTAGACCTTGCTGGTCTCAATCGCAGAGATCTGCTTGCCTCTGCCTCTTGTGTGCTGGGATTAAAGGCACACATTAAAGGCCTTCAGGATTTTTTGTTTTGTTTTGTTGGGACAGGGCTCAAGCAACCCAAGCTGGCTTCCAACTCAATATGTAGCTAAGGATGAACTCCTGATCCTGCTCTTTCTTTCTTTTTCTTTCTTTCTTTCTTTCTTTCTTTCTTTCTTTCTTTCTTTCTTTCTTTCTTTCTTCTTTCTTTCTCTCTCTCTCTCTCTCTCTTTCTTTCTTTCTTTTTCAGTCTTTTTGAGACAGGGTCTCCCTGTAGCCCCAGCTGACCTGGAACTCATTATGTAGACCAGGCTGGCTTCAAACTCAAGAGATCTGCCTGCCTCTGCCTCCCAGGTGCTGGGATTAAAGACGTGCCGCGCCATGCCTGGCTGATCCTGCTTTTTCTACTTGCCAAGTTCTTTATCTGGGTCCTCACATCAAATCCATCAGATTAAGGGCTCAGGACATGGCTCAGTGGTAGAGCACTTGCCACTCAACTCTTTATTTTTTGGCTCAGGTGACTTGCAGAACTCCAAAAGCCCCAGGACCAGGTGTTACTGATTCCACCTTAGTCTCCCTGCATTTACTCCTTAAAACCAAAGTGATTCTGTCAAAATATAAACCAGGCCACCATTTCTTTGCTGTAATGGTTCCCTTTTTACCATAAAATCCTTCCAACGCCTTCCCATCAAAGTCTGTCTTCTTGGCCAAATGTGATGGCTCACACTCGTAATCCCAGTACATAGAAGGCTGAGGCAGTGGACTGTCTTGAGTTCCAGGCCAGGCTGGGCTTCAGAGTGAGACCCTACATTGTGTATACTTGTAATCCCAGCTCTCTGGAGGTCAGTCTGGGCTATGTATTGAGTTCCTAACAGACAAAAAACTAGGAAGAAAGGTATTTTTTTCTCATTACATCCCTCTATCTTTCCTTCCCCTACCTTTATCCAATCACATCATCTTCCTTGCTGTTCTTTAAACCCGACAGGCATGTTCTTGCTTTATTTCCTTGTGTCCGCCCCAAATGTATGTTTGGTTGCATACCTGGCCATGCTATCATAAATATACTGTTTTTCTTTTTCCAGTTTGGCCTCAAATTCACTATGTAGCCTTAACACTGCCTTAACTCCTGGTCCTTCAGCTTCTACCTCCCAAGTGCTGGGATGAGCCACATGCCACTATGCCTGGCTTTTTACCCTTTGCTATAGCTTTCTTCTAATACCTTTTATCATCTTTTAAAAAATATATATAGCACCCAAGATTAAACCTAGGGCTTTCTACATGCTAAGCAACCCTTCTAGGACTAAGACAGTCTAAGTTGCCTAGGCAGGCCTGGAACTCACTCCGCAGCCTTGAATTTGTGATCCTCCTGCACATTACCAATCATGTATCACCAAGTTTGGCTGTCATTTTTTTTTTTTTATCATCCTACCCCCAACCAGTGGACAGGGATATGTCTCTTATGTTCACTGATGTATTTGGTGCCCAGACTTGTACCTGGGGCATTGTTGAATAAATGAATTTCAAAGCCTAAAGATTTAAGTGTTCAGTAAATACTTGGCATAATGATTACCAAAATGAATAAAACACAGGCTCAGGCTTGGAGTTTACTCTGTGATCAAAAGGAATGGGGCATGCCTGGCACTGGACTTGAGTAAGATCAACCTCAAGAATGCTCAGAACTGAGTGCTGGGGAGATGGGAAAATAAAGGCCAAAGGACACTTTGGTTCTTGTCAAAACATCCCACGTCTCCTCTTTGACTTTCCTAAGTCTTGTCTACAGGGAATACAACTACTCAACGCACACTCTGTACCTGGGGCCAGGTATACAAGAAGCAGTCCGAGTCCAGTTCCCTGGCGAACTCCTACTGATCCTTCACTACCCTGCGGTACCCTCTGCCACTACGGGTTCATAAACCATTCTACAGCCTCAAGAGCTTCTCACATCAGGGGACGCGACAGGAGGACTTCGCAGAGGACGGTTAGCTAGAGCTAGATCTGTGCGCTATTCTCCTCAGCAGGGAACAGAGATTCCCCAGGAAGCGCGAAAGGAGGTTCGGAATCCACTACATCTCCCCAACTTCCCTCCAGTGCAAACACACACAGGATTCCCACGAGCACGGACACACCACCAACCGTCCTCTTCCGAGTCCCCACATGGGCCCTTTCAAAGACTCTCCTCCCGGGTACACCTCAGACCTGCCCCCGACAGCCAAGCACCGGGAGCAGTAAAAGCCTCTCACCGCTGCCAAAGCGCCGCTCACCCGGCGCTCGGCGCCATCTTGGCCCCGCCCCCTGGCAGGAGTAGGTCCTGGCAGAGGCCGAGAGCTAGTCACTGCATCTTCCCCAGGTTACAGCAAATCATCTCGTCTCAAACCCTGAAATTATATAAAATTATACTCTGCATACTTGATTAAGAATCATATTCTTCTATTCTAATTACTTCAATTTATTGTTTCACTATCCAGCTGCCAGGACCTTCAGGAGGCGCCACAAAACAGGCGGTGAAGTCCAGAGCCTTGACGCTCCACCTCCTTGTCCGGCTAGCTCTGCGCATGCGCTGACCCTGCCATGCTGGATTTTTTACATTTTTTTTTTTTTTTTTTTTTTTTTTTTTTTTTTTAAAAGCTTGCCAAAGGCCGCGCCTGAACTTAAAGGGCCCGCTGCTCTCCCGAAGTTGTTCTGAAGGCAAACGGTGGTTGTGTATGCGTGTGCGTGCGTGTGTGGACTGTTTTGTCATGGGACCTGTGCGGTTGGGAATACTGCTTTTCATCCTGGCAGCATACGGTGCGTGGGCTGGGACGATGAAAGAGGAGGATGACACAGAACGTTTGCCCAGCAAATGCGAAGGTATCTAAAAAAAGCAGTTCCTATTTGCCTCTCCCTGTCCCACCTCCTGCGTCTAGGGTGGATGGGTCACTGGACCTTCTTGAGATCTTAAGGGAGGAGGCTCTTTTGGAGCTTGGTGATATTGGAATGGGAACAAGCTAGAGAACGTATAAAGCCATCCCAAACCGTGGCACTACATTTCCCATGCGGCACCCCGAAAGAGCCCGCTTTTTCTTGTCAGGCTTGGGCTTCAGTGGATTGTGGGGATTGTAGTTTAAAGACCGTCTCCTCTGGAAAACCCATTCTATAGAGCTTCTATGTTTCCCACTTTGTGACCTACCAGACCTAAATTTGGGGAGCCTTCAGGAGCAAGATATGATATTCAGACCTTGTAGACATCCTGTGTCTCGCCCTGGCAGAGACGCTTGCAAATTACAGGTCCCATGGCCCCCCTTAGGGTGAGAGTGAGTAACTCAGCAGTTGAAGCTCATAAACAGAAGATGGGGACGCCCTACCACTAGAAGTTGCCCATCAGTGTGAGGCTTTGTAGAGGGGTGTACTGTATGGGTTTTACAGCAAGTGGCGCCTTTCCTGGCTTCGTTAGTGAATGGCCACATTTGGAAGTACCCAGTGAGTCTCTCCCTGACATTCATTTCATTCTGGGATTCTTTTCCTCTTCAACTCACACCCACTGTATTTCATTATCATTGTTCCTCATGACTTGATTCTAATCACTCACTTCCTCCACTTGTTAATCTTCCTAAACACAGCTTAACCCTGGCAGTTCTTGCTTTAGCACCTCTGTATGCCTCCTACTGCAATCATACATTTTTGTGTTTGTGTATGTGCACCCATGAGTATGCATGCACAGGCACGGAACATTTCTGGAGGTCAGAGGACAATCTTGGATGTCATTCTTCAAGCGCACCTTCCACTTTTTATTTGAAACAGGGTCTCTCATTGCTCTGAAATTTTGCCACCAAGCTAACTGGCCCGTGAACTTCTAGGAATCTGTCTCTGCCTCCCATCTGGAAGTGCTGGGATCACAAGTGTGCAACACCTCCCAGCTTTTTATATGGGTTCTGAGGATTCGAACTCAGGTTCTCAAGCTTGCAAAACAAACACTTTATTGACTGAGGCATCTCCCCAGCCCCTAAGCCAAGATTAAAAAAAATTATTTTACATATATCAACGTTTTGCCTGCATGTAAGTGCATCACATGCATGAAGTACCCACAGATGCCCAAAGAGGGCATTAGATCCCCTGGAACTGGAGTTACTAATGGTTGTTAGCCACCACATGAGTGCTGGGAACTGAAACTAAGTCCTCTGGAAGAGCAGCCAGTGCTCTTAACCAGCCCCTAAGCCAACATTTTTTTTTGGCATAGTCTATAAGTCTCTTGTATGGACTCAAACATTCTTATACCACTTTCATTCCTAAAAGTGCCTGTGCTGCTTTGGATACACCCAACTTCTCACAGTCCCTGAGTGTGCCTTCCTCTCCCTTGGCTGCTTTTCAAAAAAATTTAATAACTTTATTTTTATTAAATGTGTATGAATGTTTTGCCTACATGCATGTAAGTGCAACAGTACATGCAATGCCCAAGGAGGCCAGAAGGTGTCAGACCCCCTGGAACTGGAGTTTTGGACAGGTGTCAGCCACCATGTTGGAGCTGGGAAACTGAAATTTGGTCCTCTGCAAGAGCAGCCAGTGCTCTTTGTGTTTGTTTATTTATTTATTTATTTATTTATTTATTTATTTATTTATTTACTTATTTATTTTTGAGACAAGGTTTCCCTGTAGTACCAGCTGGCCTGGAGCTCACTAGTAGACCAGACTGGCCTTGATCTCACAGAGATCTGCCTGCCTCTGCCTTCTGAATGCTTTGGACTACAGGCATGTGCCACCACACCTGGCTGGCAGCAAGTACTCTTAACCTCTGAGCTGGCTCTCCAGTCCTGGCTGTTTTCCCCTTTGCCTGAAATCTCTTTGTATATTTGGTGAGCTCCTATTCATTCTTCAGGACTCAGTTTAAATGTCTTCTTCTTTGAATTCCTCCCTTACCTGTCACTGGGTGTGTCATAGTCCTTGGTAGTCCCCTGTATCTGAGGTCCTAGCACACAGTCTGAGCACTCCCAGTATTTATCCCTCTCTTTAGCTTACTTGTTGCTTCTGTATGAGCCATTTATTTTCCTTGGGAACCCCACCCTCCATGTGCCAGGTCAGATGCTGGCCAGATAGTAGTAGAAAAGATACATTCACCCTTATAGGGATTATGGAACAAGTGACCTTTGAATGAATTTTGTATATCCTGATGGGATTTTTTTTCCCCTAATTGTTATTATGGCTGGATGTGGTGGCACAGGCCTTTAATTCCAGAGGCAGGTGAATGTGAGTTTGAGGCCAGCCTGGTCTACATATCAAGTTCCAGGACAACCAGGGTTATACAGAGAAACCCTGTCTCAAAAAATTTTATTACGTTTTTATTTATTTTGTGTGTGTACACGTGGATTTGAACATGCCACAGTGTGTGTGTGTGTGTGTGTGTGTGTGTGTGTGTGTGTATGTGTGTGTAGGAGTCAGTTCTCTCCTTCCACTGTGTGGCTACTAGGGATTGAACTCGGGTCTTAAGGTTTGGCTGCCTTTACCCACTGAGCCATCTCAGCAGCCCCGAGATTAAGTTTCTTGATTGTAACCCTGGAGTATCACCACTATATTGTCATTTTCTATATATCTGTCCCACATTAATCTGGCAGTGTTCCATGTACAGATCATGATGGGTTTTATGCTGTCTGTATTGTTAGTGTGCATACAGAATGAGCTCAATCAATAACTTCAGAGTGAAATCAAGTACTTACACAGTGTTTACTATGTGCCAGAAACTACTCTAGCAGCAGAGGTTGAAGTGCATATATTGACTTACTTCATCCTCACACCTTCTTGAAGGACACAGTATTATCTCCATGTTAGAGGTGAAGAAGCCCAGGCACACGAGTGTCACACAACTACTGAGGCCAAGTCGGTATTCTCCTCCAGTCATTCTGGCTCCGACCATGTGTGCTTGAAGGCTCTGCTGCTTTGAGTCATGAGTAGAATGTACTGCTGGGGTGATCACTTGTCTTTTTCATCCCCTTGGACATCTCTCTTCACTACCAGTATGTAAGCTGCTGAGCATGGAACTACAGGAGGAGCTGAGTCGCAGTGGCCGATCTCGAGAGGTGCTGGAGCTGGGGCAGGTGCTAGATACGGGCAAGAGAAAGAGACACGTGCCTTACAGTGTTTCGTGAGTCTTTTTACTTACCCACCTCCTAACTCCCTCTTCCCCTGGAGAGGAGCCCTAGGGGTTCCTGAAACATCAAGAAGTCTTAGTTCCCTTGTTTTCCCAGGGAGACAAGATTGGAAGAGGCCTTGGAGAATTTATGTGAGCGGATCTTGGATTACAGTGTTCATGCTGAGCGCAAGGGGTCACTGAGATATGCCAAGGTCAGAAGCCTCTTGGGAAGAAAGCTGTTTGTTTTTCTGTTTTGCTTTGTTTCCAAATTTTAAATTTTATTATTTTTTATTTTATGTATATGAGTGTTTTGCCTGTATGTAAGTGTACCACGATGTGCAGTGCCCAAGGAGGCCAGAAGAGGGCACTGGATCATTTGGAACTGGGGTTACAGATGGTTGTGAGCTGCCATGTGGGTGTCTGGCATGAACCCACGTCCTCTGCAAGAATAACACCTGTTCTTAACCACAGAGCCACCTCTCCAGTTCTTTTTTGTTGTTCATGTGTGTGCCTGTGGACATGTAGGGGCCAGAAGTCAACCTTGAGTGTTGTTCCTCAGAAACTGTTCACCTTGTTTTGGTTATTCTTTTGTTTTTTGTTTTCCTCACAACTATTTATTTAGTGTATGACTGTGTGCCACAACATGTACTTGGCAATCAGAGGACAATTTGTGGGAGTTGATTCCTTCTTTCTACCGTATGGGTCCTAGGGATCAAACACAGGTAGCATCTTGCTATTCCCACAGTGTTTTTTTGAGACAGAGTCTCACTGGCCTGGGGCTTACCAAGCAGGTCAGGCTGGCTGGCCAGAGAACCTTAAGGATCAACTTGTCTCTCCCTCTCCAGTGCTGGGATTATAAGCCAACCTGTCTCTCCCTCTCCAGTGCTGGGATTACAAATTCATGTTACCATGCCTGGCTTTCTTATGTGGGTTTTGGGGATTGAACTCAGTAGTGCTTGCACAGCAAAAACTTTGAGTTGTCTCCCCAGCCCAGGTCCCTGTTTCTCAGAAACAAAGATCCGTATCCTGTAAGATCCTCAAGGAATATCTGCCTGTCTCCCCACAAAAGGGAGCGTCCCATTGTTATGGTCAGACTCCCTCACAGACCACACCCCTGAGTCTCCTATAGGTGATAAAGTGGATATGGCTGGTGGGAAGGGAAAGGAAGAGGTGGGGTGCAGGGCTGATAACAATTTTTCCATCCCTCAGGGTCAGAGTCAGACCATGGCAACGCTCAAAGGCCTGGTGCAGAAGGGAGTAAAGGTGGATCTGGGAATCCCTTTGGAGCTGTGGGATGAGCCCAGCGTGGAGGTGACATTCCTCAAAAAGCAGGTAGGATGAGATGTCACACTGTCCAGGGAGGTGAAAAGAGGAGCTAGGTCCTAGATTTGCCTTAGGGGTGTCTACCTCTGAGCAGGGAGAAACAGCAGAGGACTATTCATTCATTCATTCATTCATTCATTCATTCATTCATTCACTATGTAACTCTGGCTGGCCTCAAACTCACTATGTAGACCAGGCTGGTCTCAAACTCACAGAGATCTCCCTGCCTCTGCCTCCAGAGTGCTGGTATTAAAGCATTTGCCATCATGTGTGGCTACTGTGTCATTTATTAAAGCAGGCCCCAAAGCATATCATGAAGTAATACTGGAGTTTAATGATGGCCACCATTGTTTACTAAGCATATACTATGTTCTGGGCTCTGGACTACATAATTTTCAGCTACTGTCTCATCCTCATGTAACAGGTAGGATTGCCAGTTCTGACTAACAGGCAAGAATTTGAAGCTCAGAGTTTTTGAGACAAGGTTTCGCATAGCCCAGGCTAGCCTAGAACTCACCATATAGTCGAGGATGACCTTGAACTTCTGATCCTCCTGCCTTCCCCCCCCTCCAACTAGGATTACAGGTATTTGCCATCTAGCTGAGTAGATAAATATTAGTAAATGTTCAATGAATAAAATGACACAATTAGTAAGCCAAGCTTACCCTGCTGGCTACCTGCCTCTCCAAAGGCAATCAGGTAGAGTAGGAAGATGGAGCTTTCCAAAGCCCATTAGAGCAGACCTTCCTGCTCTTCCTCTTCACTAGTGTGAGACAATGCTGGAGGAATTTGAAGATGTTGTGGGAGACTGGTACTTCCATCACCAGGAGCAGCCCCTTCAGCATTTTCTCTGTGAAGGTCATGTGCTCCCAGACTCTGAAACTGGTAAGTGCAGAGCTTGGGCCCCTCCTCTGCCAACCCATCATATTCCTAGTGCTAACACTGAAATTGTTTTCTCTTACTCCACCTAGCTTGTCTACAGGAAACTTGGACTGGAAAGGAGAAAATAAGAGATGGGCAAGAGGAGGAAGAGGAGGAGGAAGAGGAAGAAGAAATAACCAAGACATCGGGCAACCCCAAGCATGACCCAGAGGATCTTTGACTCTTGGCTTTGAGTAATGGAGAGCTCTAAAATCTGAGCTCTCCCTGCTCGACAACTTTAAGAGTGCTTGTGTGTGAGTGACTTTAAGAGTGCTTGTGTGTGAAGACTTGTAACTGTCCTGTTCAGATGGTTATCAAGCAGGATCCTGGGGACTCAGAATAGGAGGAGAAAGGGTAGGAGCAGGGGCAAGTTTTGCCTCCAGAGATGAGCCACATCAAGCTCCTAATTGGCCAGGTATATGTTGTGACAATATTTAAGCTCTTCCTGGTAAATATCTCTACTGGTCCACACCTGCATTCACTGGTAAGCAATGTGCAGGATGAGCTGTGGGAAAGTCCCTTGCCCTTTAAAGGCTCTACTTTTGGACCCTTGCACCAAGCCAGAACTGAGAATAGGGATGTAGCTCACTTAATATTTTGCCAAGTATGAACCAAGCCAAGGTTTGACCCCCCCAGCCCCATATAAAACATGACCATACCCTTGCAATCCCAGCACTTGGAGGTGATGGCAAGAGGATCCAAAGTTCAAGGTTATCATCTGGCTATGTAGCAAGTTTAAGGCTAGCGGGCTACATGAGACCGTCCTATCTCAAAAAAAGAAGCCAGGCTGGGTGTGGTGGCCCAAGTCTTTAATCCCAGTACTCCAGAGGCAGAGGCTGGTGGATCTGTGAGATCGAGGCCAGCCTGGTCTACATAGTGAGTTCCAGGCTACAGGGAGAACCTGTCTCAAAAAACAAATGAAACAAGAAAGAAGCCAAAACAATCAACCTACCTACACACTGCCTGCATCAAGAAGCTGTATAACCATCAGTTGGTGAACAGAGTGAACAAGGCTCTGGGAGAGGGTGGGGATCTGCACTTGGCCTACTTCCTATTTCACAGATGCCAAATTTTCTATACCGCTATTAAACTTTTAAAAAATTCTAAATATCATCTGAGCCCAGCTTTAAACGTGCAGAGATTATATAAGATCGATGAAGCAACAACACTCAGACAATAGGGCCTATTGGTTTTTAGAATTTTCTGGCCCAAGGATGCTGATAGGCATTTGAGGAACAGAACTGTACAACAACTCGAATTTTAAATCCAGCGTGGTAGCGCACAGCTATAATCCCAGCACTTATGAGGTGGAGGCAAGAGGATCAAGGTCTTCTCTGGCCCTACTTATGCAAGTTCAGGACCAGCCTGGGCTACATGAGCGCTTACACCAAAAAAACCATTCCTAGCGAGCGTGGCGTTCACCGCCTTTAATCCTACCAGAGGCAGAGGCAGGCGGATCTCTGTGAGTTCGAAGCCAGCCTGGTCTATATAGTGCGTTCCAGGCCAGCTGGGGCTACAGGGAGGCCCTGTCTCAAAAACCAAAAAATTTTCAAAGAAAACAACAACAACAAAAAACACTTCGGATTTGTGTAGCCTTCATTCACACAAGTTGCAAAATGCTCGAGAATTCAACTACTCGGCCACCGTAGTTAGTACGGGAGCCCGTATGGGACAAAATCCCTCACGTTTTTCCCAGTTTTTGCATTTCCTCAGAGCAGATTGAAGAGAGGCGATATATTTTAGGTACAAGGCTAGAGCTAGAATGAGGACGGGGAAAAGGCTGTTCTTTAAATGGCGATGAATGAAAGCCATGTCTTGAGCCTAGCTGAAGCCAAAACGCGGAGGCCCGGTGGGGAGGTGGGTTGGGCGATCACTTTAGGCGGGAGGGGCAAGGTTGAGCCCTCCCCCTGGGAATGGCGGGCTCGCGGTGGGAACCCGGCAGCCGTCCGTAGCCCTCTTTCCCTTCCCAGCCATGGCCGGCGCGGTACGGACCGAGCCGCTACCCGGTGAGGCTCCCCTACTGGTGCCCGGCGACCCCTACTCGGTGGCCGTTCTGCTGCGCGGCTACGCGGAGCCCGAGGGCGCGGGGGAAGCGGTGCGCGCGGACGGCACAGTGACCCTCGTCCTGCCCCGGACCTGGGCCTCCGGCTCCGGCAGCCGAGGGTCCCCATCTGCAGACCGCGGGGCAAAGGCCGCGCTGGAGGAGGCGGCGCGTGGCCCGGTCCTCGTGGACACTGGGGGGCCCTGGGTTCGGGGGGCGCTGCTGGGAGCCCTGGCTGGGCAGGGCGTGGCCCCGGGAGACGTGACTTTAGTGGTGGGGACCCACGGACACTCGGATCACATTGGGAACCTGGGGCTCTTTCCCGGGGCGGCTTTGCTGGTCTCGCACGATTTCTGCCTCCCCGGGGGCCTCTACCTGCCCCACGGGCTGTGTGAGGAGCAGCCCTTGGTCCTGGGCCCCGGGCTGCAGGTGTGGGCCACGCCGGGCCACGGAGGCCAGCGGGACGTGAGCGTGGTGGTGGAGGGCACCACCCTGGGTACCGTGGTGGTGGCGGGCGATGTGTTCGAACGCCATGGAGACGAGGACTCGTGGCAGGCTCTGAGCGAAGACCCAGGGGTGCAGCAGCGGAGCCGGAAGAGGATCCTAGGCATCGCTGATGTCGTTGTGCCTGGTCACGGAGCCCCCTTTCGGGTGGTCAGGGAAGCAGAGAAGAATTAACGTTTGAAGACCGAGTGTGCCCTGCACAGATGAACCCAGAGATTGAGTTCATACCAGGCAGGAAAGGCCCTCCGTCTGGGTCAGCCAGTCAGAGCATGTCAGGCTGGTTACTTCCAGCCTTCCCAGGACCCAGCTTTCCCGACAGAACGGAGTGACTGCCATTAATCACCTTTAACACTCTCTCTGCAAGAGACTAGGACCAAGGTCTGGCCCAGCTCTGCATCTTCTATGGGTCCTCAGTAAAATGCAGAAGTATTCTTAGGATCCTCCAAAATAAAAAATAGATACTGCATTGGAAATTATACTGTCCTAACGTAAATGAAAAACACTAATAGCGTTAATCATGCCAATATGGTAACTAGCAGTTGCAAAAGAGGAATACTGTGACCAGTGGCTTATTTCTTCTGGGAAGTAGGCTGCTGAGAAGGTGCTGGGCACAGAGGTGACCTGCTAGCGACCTTAATTGTTTAAAAATTAATTCATTTTATTTTTAAAACTTTATGAGTGTTTTGCCTGCATGAGAGTGCACCCTTGTGCCCAGTGCCTGTGGAGGTCAAAAGAGGGAGTTACATATGGTTGTTAGCCTCCATGTGGGTGCTGGGAACTGAACCTAGGTCCTCTGCAAGTGCAGCCTGTGCTTTTAACCACTGAGCTCCTGACCTTTTTCCCACCTCTGTTTGAGACAGCCTTTTGTAGTCCAGGCTGGTCTTGAACTCCTAATGTTCCTTTCTCCACCTCCCAAGTGCTGGGATTACAGGCGTGTGCCGCCCTGCCTGGCTTTCCCCTGACTTAATTCATCTACTTATTCAGTGGGTATCTTTTTTAAAAATTTTTATTATTTTTATTTTGTGTGTATGCATGTATTGCCCACATGTAGGTAAGTGCACCTGTGTTATGCAATGCTCACAGAGGTCAGAAGAGGCTGTTGGATCCCCTGGGACTGACGTTACAATTGTTAGCTGCCATATGGGTGCTTGGATTCAAACCTGGGTCTTCTGCAAGAACAACCAGCGTTCCTAAGTGTTGAGCCATCTCTCCAGCCCTCAGTGGGTACCTTTTAACATCTGTAATGTCTCAACACTGATGTAGGTCATGTAACACTACAGTGAGAAAACTACAAATTCCCTGCCCCACAGAGAGGTCACATTCTATTCAAGAGACAGAGTAGCAATAGTAGTAGTAGCAATCAAATAATTATAGGTTGTGCTTAGTAATATATGTATCTAGATATAAAACATATATACATATGTACATATTTTAAAAGTGGGATGAGGAGGGTGTGGTGGCACACACTTTTAATCCCAGCACTCAGGAGGCAGAGGCAGATGGATCTTTGTGAGATCAAGGCCAGCCTGTTCTATGTAGTGAGTTCTAGGCCACATGGGGCTACAGGGAGACCCTGTCAAGAAAACAAGATACTGGAGATACAGATCAGTGATTAAGAGCACTAGCTGCTCTTACAGAGGACCAGGGTTCAATTCCCAGCATACACATGGTGGCTAATAACTATCCATACTCCAGTTCCAGGAAAACCCAACACTTTCTTCTGACCTCCATGGGCATTGCACGGTATGGGTGCACTTAGACACATGCAGGCAATGCACTCATATACATACAATAATAATAAAAAGAATGTTTGCTGCTCTTGTGGAGGACCCAAGTTCCTAAGTTTGGATCCCAGCACCTACATCGGGCAGCTCACAGCTGCCTGTAAGTCCAGTTACAGGGGAATATAACACCTCCGAGCACCTGCATTCACGCATACCCACACTCAGACACACACACAGTTAAATAATAATTAATCTTTGGGGCTGGAGAGATGGCTCAGCGGCTAAGAGCACTGACTGCTCTTGCAGAGGATCCAGGTTCGGTTTTCAGCACCCACATGACAGCTAACAACCATCTATTACTTCCAATTCCAGAGGATCCAATGCTCTCTTCTGGTCTCTGCAGGCATTGAACACATGTGATGCACTTACATGTGTAGGGAAAACACTCATATACAAAAGTAAAATTGAATAGAAACATTTAAAGATGGAATTGGCTAGGTTAGTTAGGAAGTTAATACAGTTAATGTAGTGTTCCAGGGAGAGGAATTAATGGAGCCTTCATTCCAGTTTTACTATGGCTGTGATCCTCTTCACAGTCCTGCCGTAGCCCCAAGCCCTTTGTCAACCCTTCTTGGGAACCCACAGGTGAGACAGAAAAGGAGAAATAAGTCCACTGGGTTTTCCCAGGTGGATGTCATTTTCCAGGCATCCACACAGGCCACATGGAGGGGAGGGCAACAAAGGCAGCTTGGGGAAACTTCACCTGGAACCCCAGAAAGTTACTGCTGTACACGGATTTATTACTGGTATTGGCCAGTTTGATGTCCACAAGAGTACTGGGATCCCAGGATAGGAGGGCCAGCACAGCTACCCCAATCTCTACCAATCATCACACAAGGATGGCAAGAGGGAAAGTGATGTAGTGGCCTTGCAGAGGTGGCACCAGCACAGTGTGTGGCTTCTCAGGTAGGCCATCCAGCTTCGTGGCTATGGAGTGCAGGAAGGCCATTGATGCACAGATCACAGGGGGCGACCCTGGGTCTGGCAATACAATTCTATGTCCCACCCCTTATGTCTCCAGAGTCATTAGGGGACCTTGTCTGATATGTGACAGGTAGTCCATGGGTTTCAGTGAGGTCGGGAGGATGATAGTAGGGATCAGGTCTGAGTTGATGTTATACTTTCTTCCTTGAAAAATACAGAGAAGGAACTGAGAGATGGGTCACTGGTTAAGAGAACTGGCTGTTCTTGCAGAGGACCCAGGTTTGAGTCCCAGCACCCACATGGTGGCTAACAACCATCCATAACTCCAGCTCCAGGGGATCTGATGCCCTCTTCTGACATCCTTGGGCATTGCATGACATGGGTGCACTTACATATATACAGGCAATACATTCACATAAAATAAAAATAATAAGTTTTTTTAATACAGAGAAAACCGGATATGGTGGCACACTCTTTTAATCCCAGCCTGGTCTGCATAGTGAGTTCTAGGCCAGCTGAGGCTACAGGGAGACCTTGTCTCAAAAATGACCAAAATAAATAAATAATAAAAATACAGAGGATTTCTGGGTGCAGTGGTGCATGCCTTTAGTCCCAGCACTCAGGACACAGAGAGAGGCGACTCTGAGTTCAGTGCCAGCCTGGTCTACGTAGTGATTTCGAGGTCAGCAGGGCTACATAGTAAGACCCTGTCTCAAGAACAAAGAAACAACAACAAAGGTTTGGGCTGGGGATGTAGCTTAGTTGGTAGAGAAAACCCTGGGTTCAATTCCCAGCACTGCATAAAACCAGGCAAGGTGGCATATACCTCTGTAATCTCAGCACACCCGGAAGTGGAGGCAGAAGGAACAAGAAGTTCAAGGTTATCCTTTGCTACATACTGAATGTGAGGCCAGCCTGGGCTACATAAGAGCCTTCCTCAAAAATTAAGATACAATAACATAAGAACCACACCAAGAATTGTGGCTGTAATCATAGCATCTGGGAGCCTTAGACGAGAGGATCATGAGTTCAAGAACAGCCTAGGCTATGTATCATGTCTCAAAAAAAAAAAAAAAAAAAAAAAAAGAATGAATTAAAGACCTAGCATCACTTATCCTATCACCACCTAGCTTTGTGCTCCCTCATCCAGGCTATTGCCAGTGACTCCCTAGTACATTCTGAAGGCTTAGCCAGGCCTCCTGTAGCATTTTGTCTGTGGGTTTTCAAGGTAAACCCTTCCTTAGTAGTGTCTTCTCTCTACAGCCTTCCGACTGAGCATTTCAACCTGGATTCACCCACCAGATTCCTTCAGCCATCTCAAGAGGAAGATTTGCCTCAAGATAGAGATTCAGAGTTGTAATAGGAAGCAGGTGACTCCAGAGACACAGTCTGTCCACTCCCATGCTACATAATACCTACATAAAGGGGTCATTTCTTTGAGCAAAGTGCCTGATGGGCTTCAAGTCCCCTTCTTTCCTTTTTCTTTCTCCTCCCTTCCCCTTCCCCCTTTCCCTCCACCATTCCCTTTCTCTTTCCCCTCCCGGCTTCCCTCTCCCTCCTCTCCCTTTCTCCCTTCACTTCATCTACCTTCCCTTCCCCCTCCCTTCCCTCTCCCCCTTCCTTCCTTCCTTCCTTCCTTCCTTCCTTCATTCCTTCCTTCCTTCCTTCCTTCCTTGGCCAGGTCTCATGTGGCCTTAGACTCACTATGTAGTTGAGGCTAGCCTTGAACTCCTGATCCTCTTGCCTTTACCTCTCAAGTGCTGAGATTACAGGCATGCACCACCATACCCCATTTATGCAGTGCTGAAGATGGAACCAAGGACTCTGAGTATTTTAGGTAAGCACTCCAACCCCAGATTACTAGGGATAGAATTTAGGTCCTCATGAATGCTAGCAAGTGCTGTACCCCTGAGCTGCATCTTCAGCCTGATTTTCTTTCCTCCTTCCCTCCCTTCCTCTTTCCTCCCTTTCCCTCCTGTTCCCTTTTATGCCTTAGATTCCCTATAGAGTCCAAACTAGGCTTGAGCACTCTACATTGCTGCCTTGTCCTGAGTGCTAGGATTACAGGCATGTGCCGCAATGCATGGACACCCTTCTTTCCATCAACTAACAGAATCTCTGGTTTTGCTAACTTTCTACACTGAGTTTGCATCCACCTTTTTTTTCCTTTCTTCTTTTCTTTTTCTTTTTTCTTTTTTGGTCTTGTTGAGACAGGGTCTCCCTGTAGCCCCAGCTGGCCTGGAACTCACTATGTAGACCATGCTGGCCTTGAACTCACAGAGATCTGCCTGCCTCTGCCTCCCGAATGCAGGAATTAAAGGCGTGTGCCACCACGCCTAGATTTTTGTTATTTTTAAAGACAGGCTTGCTATGTCCTGTCTCAACCTCCCAAATGCTGCAATTACCCACCATATTACCACTTATCTTTGGAAGCATATTACAGCCTAACCTGCCAAGATCAGAATTGTCCCAAAGTGACCCCACAATGCCAACTTAATATTGCCTAAACATTGAGTTAGCTGTGACTGGATTGTCCTCCCCAGAAGGGAGGGACTGAACCCATGCTAATCCACCTGGGTGATTGAAAGCTTCATTGCCTTGAGAAGGCGGTAGATTACATCTCACATGCATCCTAAATGCTAAGATTACAGCATGCATGCCTAACTTGTATGTCTTGAGTTGACATAGTGAGACCCTGTCTCAAAAAAAAAAAAAAATCTTAACTCTCCTAGGTCTAAGTAAGTCCACCTGATCAGACAAGTTATCAC